CGCTGCCCAGGCGGGTCTCGAACCCGCGGGATCAGGCAATCCATTCACCTCAGCCTCCCACAGGCGTGGGATTACAGGCTGAGCCACCGAGCCCGGCTCCAATCGCACTTTTGATAGGTCCCATAGGCATTTAGGACGGGTTCTTGACCAACACCCTAACCGAATAAATACACAAAACAAGAACACAAACAAGCCCCGTCCCGATTCTGATCAAGTCTTTAGATTCAATGACCAGTTCATACAAAACACAAGGGACAGAGAAACAAGTGAAATGACAGCGTGAGGGAGCAGCCAACTGAATTCAGAGCCGGCATGTTCTCAGCGTAAATGACCTGGTTTGGTCAACAAAAAAATGGAATCAAAAAGGGGCCAAAAGCAGATGGGTTGACGCCGGGTCCACAGGGACTCATTATGCTGCTTGCTCTCCTCTGAGAAGGCTGGTAGGATTTCACAAGCAGAAAGGAGGGAGATGGGGAGCATCATGCATATTGAAGAGAGGCAAGAAGCCACACAGGGCTGCCAGTTAAAGTGAAGGCTCCCGGGCCCACCCTGGACACGTGACTTGCTGGGGTGCTGGCAACGCCGGCATTTTCAAACGTGACTGTTAGACCATCTTTCTGTAATGGTGAGAGCTGGCAGCCACCCCGATGCCCTCACAGCGGTGGGTTCGGTGGACCACGGACAGCCAGACAATGGAAGCCTGGGGGCGTTAAGAACAAGGTGTCCGTGGGCCGCGTGGCAAGGCGGCACCGCCGGGGCAGGGCAGGGTGGAGGGCGCGCCCGAGAGCCCCAGCAGCTCCCTGGGCCCAACCTCTTCCATTTCTGTGCTTCGAGAACAGCGCGGCAAAAACCTGAATCCTCACCCCTAGGGCCACCTGCTGTGGACATTTTGCCACATGTACTTTTTCTCTCTCTCTTTGTCTGTGTGTATTTTCTCCCCTTTGAGAGTACACTGCCGACATCATGGTACTTTCCCTCTGTCCACATCATTGCACACTGCCAGAAAACGGGCTGCTCTCCTATATAATCACAGCACCGTTATCACACTCAAGACATCTGACAACTATACAATATTAACGAATACACAGTCATCGTCAAGTTTTCTCCAGTGCTCTAAATAATAACCTTTACAGCTGTTTTTTCTACCTTGGATTTCATGTCTATTTTCTTCGACTAGATATCTATATATACACATATTTTAAAAGCTCGGCTTTTTTTTTTCTTTTTGAGACAGGGTCTTGCTGTGTTGCCCAGGCCGGAGTGCAGTGGGTATTCCCAGGTATGATCCTACTACTGAACAGCACAGGAGTTTTAACCTGTTCCTTTTCTGACCTGGACCAGTTTAACCCCCGTCAGGCAACCTGGGATCCCCTGCTCTCTGGAGGTCACCATATTGATGCCAAACTTAGTGTGGACCCTGTAGACACAGTACACTACCGCCCAGAGGCTCAAGTGATCCTCCTGTGTCAGCCTCCCAAGTAGCTGGGACTACAGGAACACACCACTCTGCTCGGCTGACAATATGTTTATAGAGAACAATTTCAAACCTGTCCCAAAGCAGAGAACATCTTGTGGCAAGTCCTTAGGAACCCACCCCAGTTTCAATGATTTTCAATGTACAGTTGATTTGGTTTCCTCCCTTTGTTTTTTTTTTTTGAGTTGGAGTCTCACTCTGTCACCCAGACTGGAGTGCAGTGGCTGCACTCAACCTGCTGGGTTCCGGCGATCCTTCTGCCTCAGCTTTCCAAGTAGCTGGAACTATAGGTACGTGCTATCATGCCTGGCTAATTTTTGATTTATTGTAGAGATGAGGTCTCGCCAAGTTGCCCAGGTGGGTCTCGAATAGGCAATCCACTCACCTCAGCCTCCCAAAGCGCGGGGATTACAGGTTTAGTGTGGACCCTGTAGACACAGGGGGTCTGGATTCAGATTCTATTTTGGGGGATTCAGATTCTATTTTGGGGGATTACAGGCTGAGCCACCGAGCCTGGCTTATTTTGTTTTTTTTTTTTGAGTTGGAGTCTCACTCAATCGCCCAGACTGGAAGGCAGTGGCACGCTCACGGCCACTCCAGCCTCAACCTGCTGGACTCAGGTGATCCTTCTGCCTCAGCCTCCTATGTAGCTGGAACTATAGGCATGTGCCACCACATGATTTATTGTAGAGAGGAGGTCTCACCAAGTTGCCCAGGCTGGTCTCGAACCCTGGGCTCAGGCAGTTCTCTTGCCTTGGCTTCCAAAGTACTGGGATTACAAGCATGAGCCACCTTGCCTGGCCTTGACTTTTTAACAACAGCTTCCTGAGGCTTAAATGACATGCAATATACCCACCCACATGTTATAGGCGAACAGGCTGGTAAGCTCTGCTATGTACATACCCTGTGCAGTCATCACCATACTAAGATAATGAAAGTGTTTAGCCCGTGCAAAAGGTGCCTGTGCCCTTCCTCACTTGTAAAAACTTCCTATTTAGAAAGAATTTTGGATCTGTGGAAGAGCTGCAAAGATAATACAGAGAATTCCACAGCCCTTCACCCAGCATCCTCCGATGACAACATCTCACATAGCCAAGGCACCACGAACAAACCCAAGAAGCTGACACCGGTGCAAAACCAGTGGCCAGGTGACAGACTACCCAGATTTCACAACTCATGTTCTTTGTCATCAGAGGGTCTACTCAGACTCCCCAGCACACTGAGTTGCTACATCTCCTCGGTCTCCTTCCTTCTGTGGCAATATCTCCATTTTTCCTTGTATTTCATGACCTTAACACTTTTGAATGTTCTGGTCAGACTTGGTAGAATGTCTCTCAATGTGGGTTTGTCTCATGTTTTCACAGATTTGGGGAAGAATACCAGAGAGATGATGTGTCCTCAGGGCATCACCCCAGGACCCAAGGCATTGATGTGCCTTGTGGCTGCTCATGTGATCTCCAAGTTTCTCTACTGTGAAGTTACCGTGGTTCCCTCTTCTCACACTCGATTTGTTAGAAGCAGGTCACCAAGTGCCAACATCTCCCAGAAGAGGAGAACTAAGCTCCATCTCCCAGAGGGACAAGTGTGAAAGATTTTTGTGGACTGCTACAAAAATACCTAAGTATTTTGGGGTAGATACTTTGAGGCTATATAAATAATCTGCTTCTACTTAAAAAGTTTTTCTACGAATTTTGGCAACCATCAGATGTATTGCCTACAATGATTATTAATATATTTTTTTTGAATTGGAGTCTTACTCTGTCATCCAGGTTGGAGTGCAGTGGCACGCTCACGGCCACCCCAGCGTCAACCTGCTGGCTTCAGCGATCCTTCCGCCTCAGCCTTCCAAGTAGCCTGAACTACAGGTGTGCGGTACCACGCCTGGCTAGTTTTTTTGATTTATTGTAGAGATGAGGTCTCGCCAAGTTGTCCTGACTGGTCTCAAACCTGCAGGCTCAGGTAATCCATTCACCTTGGCCTCTCAAAGTGCTGGGATTACAGGCTGAACCACCGAGTTCGGTGGTGGTGTTCTAATGGTGATTTCCTATTTCCCTCAATCCTTCTAAATTTATCACTGAAATTGTTCTATAAGGATGAGTTGTCGGCCGGGGTCGGTGGCTCAGCCTGTAATCCCAGCACTTTGGGAGGCCGAGGTGAGTGGATTGCCTGAGCCCGCGGGTTCGGGACCCACCTGGGCAACTTGGCGAGACA